AGCTCTGAAAAATGTTACACTTACGAACCAAAGGACTGAGAACACCATCTCTCCACCTCAAGGCAAACGGCATGACAACTTGGCCATTGAAATCTCGGGAGCTTGTCAATTCATCTAAAAACAAAAATTAATATGAAACCCAGATGATGCGAAATGGCTGTTTAAAAAAAAGTTGCCACTGTCTGAAAAAATAATGGACACTGTTATAATACAGAAGGGTTGAATGGGACATTGCTGTTCTATTCAGGTTTTTACCCCATCTTGTCCCACATGAAATTTCTTAGAGAATTCCACGGGAGAGTCCTTTTAAGGACATCCACTACTGACAACAGCCACCACCAATGAGCTTATAAAAATATCAATGATTTGAAACTCACAAACCATCGTGTTTTTTGGTGTTTTCCCCTGTTGTGCTTTTCCCTTGCACACTGGTACCCTTGGCACCTGAGACCTACTAACAACGATGACCCATTCCAGAAACAACAGTGGTTCACACACAAAAAAAGAGTTGCAGAAAGAAAGCTGCCCACTTTCCTGTGGGAGGCAGTGTGTCAACCTGGTCAAACGAAGCCCAAACCTTTGTCGGCATCCTGTACATACGCGGCCATGATGGTGTGCAGCTAGTTGCAGGCGGTCGTGTACACACCAAAGGCAGGTCATAGCACCTTTAGACTGTAGAACTGTCCTGGGGAAACCCTAGGAAATCTCACGCCGGACTAGATGGGGTGAAAAACCTGAATAGAACCGACTTTGCTGTTCTGTTCACTATCCTACCTATTAATTGCTGTTGTAACTCCATAGTAAAGTTAACAGATGCTAATGGAAAGAGGCAGTAGACTGTCCAAGTTCATATTGTTGTTTTTCTTCTTCTGTAGGCAGAATAAGAAATGTATGGATTTGAACTTTAAGCATGTCTGACACAGGTGATATAGAGTTTATTCTGTTTGGCAAAGATTTTACCTGCTTTCTTTCATTAATCATTTTGTGTGTGTATGAGATCTGTATTGAAATTGTTGGTATAAAGTTTTCCAGAATTTAGTGTTTCTTTCTTTCTAGATTGCATTTAAGAATTTGTGTTTAAGAAACCATTGGCTCTTTATATAATCCATGTTACTGTAAATTGTGGCGTATAAGTTGACCTTAAGATTTTTAGCTCAGATATTTTTCATTTAAGCCTACTAATTTACCTAACACATTTTATACCTGCAGTATAAGTTGATGCCTAGATTTTCATAGGTTCAGAGCTCTACATGTACGCAACAGTTTATGGTAACACAGTTTGTGTTGCTACAGTGATATATATATATATATTTTTTTTTTGTAGTCATGAGTTTAGTCAAAAACTGCACTGAAAGTAATCACTTACAAAATGTAGCAACATTTTACAGCACATATCACCATGGGAAATTTGTTAACAGGAGAATGTTGAGGCTGGAAAATGGTTAGCAAGAGAATGTTAGACTGATCCTGGTGGTCTGTGTGGCAGGTTTTTGTGCTGCTGATTGATGTATTTGTATGTTCAAATATTATGCAGAATTTACTCACGATTTGGCAGTTCACCAGCCAGTTTTTGAATGTGTGTGTGTGTCTGAGAGATTGTGGCTGCTCTAGTTGATCAGTGTGTGTGTCTGAGAGATTGTGGCTGCTCTAGTTAATCACTGTATGTGTCTGAGCGATTGTGGCTGCTCTAGTTAATCAGTGTGTGTGTCTGAGAGATTGTGGCTGCTCTAGTTAATCAGTGTGTGTGTCTGAGAGATTGTGGCTGCTCTATTTGATCAGTGTGTGTGTCTGAGAGATTGTGGCTGCTCTAGTTAATCAGTGATGTGTCTGAGAGATTGTGGCTACTCTAGTTGATCTGTGTTTGGCGGGTAATTCATTCTTTCTCTTTGTTTTGTGCTTCACAGTCTTACATATTCTGTAGGTCTGTCTATCCTGCATTATCTATTTTTGGCACTATGTCTGTTCATCTCTGCCCCCAGACCCCCACAGTGGAAACCGCTACCCCCCCGAGACCACCCCCCCCCCCCCCCCCCCCCCCCCCCCCCCCCCACAAGCACTCACATGCATACACAAGCACACACCTTTCTTTAACTTTTGTTGTTGTTGCTATTGCTGTTACAGTAAAACCTCAATAACACAAGCTCACTTAAGATGAACATTTGATTAACATTTTGGTCCCAGCAGAGATAGTACTAGTCCCTGGTAGTAGCACATTTTTTTTAAGCACTAAATCTTAATAGTTAGTCCCTTGTAATTTGTGTTTACGTGGTTTTTCTGTATTACTGTTGTATTAATATCTATAATCTGAAAGATGCTGTACTATATACAGGGTTGTTCATTTCATATTAGACAGTGTTTGTAGATTTAAAAAAAAGTACTTTTTGTTGCATTATTTTCCCCTGTGGGATAATCTGACACAAAACTGTTACAAATAAACTAATGTAACATGAAACTGATAATTGAAATAATGTGACATGAAACTTATAATTAGAATACTATAACATGTAATTTTGATAATTGGAATAATGTAAAATGAAACTTTGATAATTTAAATAATTTAACATGAAACTGATAATTGGAATAATCTGACCTTAAACTTTGATAATTGGAATAATGTAATATGAAACTTTGATAATTAGAATAATCTAACATGAAACTTTGATAATTGGAATAATCTGACCTTAAACTTTGATAATTGGAATAATCTAAGATGAAACTTTGATAACTGGAATTTTCTAACATGAAATTTAGGGTAAATGAAATAATCTGACAGGTTTAAAACGGTGTTTTTCAGTAGTGAATTTAAAATATGTAAACACTTAACATTGATCATCATGTGCCGTTAATGTTAGGCTGTAATGTTTCACAAACTTACGTGATCACCAAAATCATGGATCAGTTCAGTGTTGTTTTTTCCCTGCCCTATCCACCCAGACAGGCCATCTTGGTATTCAAGTCTTGCCTTCCTCTTGCTCTCTTTCCATCCATCTTGTCAGTTGTTACCAAGTTCTGAATTTCATTTCTTCTCATAATATGTCAATAAAATATTGTCTGTTCACGTCTAATCCTTCTAATAAGGTTACGACTTTCTTCTGTTCTAATATAGAAGTAAAGGTCCCTTTTCCACACCTTTAGGTGTATAGGGTATATAGGGCTAGACCTGTATTTTTATAGACAAATCGGCCAAGATGGGTGATGTGGTCAGCATTATGCCCGCCGCCTTTACTTCCAGGTACTGCACCTGGTACCCACTCAAGGCTGGGTCGACCTGAGAGTCAAGGTCATTTTTTTAGAAAGTCCCACTTCGCCAGGGAGCGAACACATGACCTTCCGATCGTTGCGCTAGCATCTAGCCGCTACGCCACGGCAACTTCCTTCTGTCTTAATGTGGCCTGCTTTATTCATTTTTCCATCCTTTGTTGATATTCTTTGCATTCTTCTCAGAAGCCGCAAACAGTTCATTGCACAATCTATAGCCATGCATTTGTTGCTGAATCTCATGGTGTGTGTTGCTGCAGTTGATTAGTGATTAGAAAGGATTATCATCACAGCACTCCGGACAGATCCATAGGTGCTCTGATCTCCTCCTCAAAAGCTCCACAAGTGTAAAACGACTGATGCCGCCTGTTCTGTGTTGGTTAATGAAGCGTCTTGTCCCCTTAGTGCAGTTGATGGTGCTCTGTAGTAACACACCCGCCCAGATAAGCGGGAAATGCCTGGCAGTAAATTGTGCAGTATGTTGTGTCAGCATTATTTAAATCCAACATAATATTGTGACATATGGTATAGAGAAACAAGAAACTAATAGAATAATTTAACATTGTTAGTAACGAAGGAAGAAATCTGACAATAACATGCAGCTTTGTTACAAGTGTGCCAAGTCAGCATGCCTCTTTGTAATAGCTAGGAATAACTACCTGCTGTTAGATTGAATTTAGATAATTATACAGGTAATTTTGATGGACATTTTTCACTGACATGCTTTTGAGAAAATGTACAGCAGGGCTATTCAACTAAGTTGACTCAGGGACCAACATTTTGAAAATGAGGATCAGCACGAGCCAGAAGCTCAAACCCCAGCATAGGAAGTTCATTAATACAGTACAGCTGGCAATAATTCGCTGGCCAGGTTAGAGCCAGTGGACTATCAGTTTGTAGCCCTGATGTATAGTATGAAGACACACTAGAGCACTAGAAGTACTGTAACCACTGTCTTGCCCTGACAGATTCACTAGAAGTGCTGTAACCACTGACTTGCTATGTCAGATACACTAGAAATACTGTAACCACTCTCTTTCTCTGTTAGATACAAGATACACTAGAAGTACTGTAACCACTGACTTTCTTTGCCAAATACACTCAAATTCTAGATAATCTGTCTGTGCTGTCTTGCTTGGCCCTGTAAACATTTCATTGCATCAGCCAGGTTAAACACTTTTTTCCAGAGAACATTACAGAGATTTAAATGCGTACAGAAATACTATCTGCGTTGCATTCATTGTAAACAATACCACCCAAAAAAAAAATGAGGTGAAACAAATGATTATAAGTGGCAGCGAAAAGAGTCACGTTTTAACTTTACAAAACCCTGATTATAATTTAAATTAAAATGAGCGTAATTGTTGTTAAACATTTTTTTTTTAAAATTTCAGTAACTTAGCATAACAAATATCTGTGTAAATACCTTTTTTTTTACATTTTATATTTTATACCTTTGTTTTTGTTTTAAATTTCAAACAAATGGAAATTGGACACCTAAGTAACGAAATACATACACACATACGTGGAAGTATAGACATAAAATCTAAGCAGGCACATAACTGGATAATTTTTAAAATTTAGGGATTGCATAATTATAAAAAAATTTTAAGACAGTTCTCAGTATAATGCATGAGCAAAGATTCTTCTGCCCACAAGAGCCTTTAGTACAGTTAAATTTTTTTGAAGATAATGTTTTAGTTGTTTAGTGAAAATTAATTTTGAAAGTTTCATTAATTTAGGTAAAGATGGCAACAAAGTCACAACTGTCCTGGCCACGGCTGGGCAGGGTTCAGATCGGCCCCAGGAGGTTAGCTATACAGATGCTAAAGTGATTGGTAATGGCTCCTTCGGTGTGGTGTACCAAGCCAAACTGACAGAGACGGGGGAACTGGTGGCAATCAAGAAAGTCTTGCAAGACAAACGCTTTAAGGTGAGAGAGATGCAATTGAGAACAGTAATCTTGTCTTTCAGGGCGTTGCCGGGCCTAAGTCTATTATCAGTCTAAACCACGTGGTCTACCTTTTCTACCGTTAATCTTTCAAGTCATCTCAATGTTCTGCAGTACCTCTCTTCTCATCACATGTTCAGAGACTACTGATTGCCTCTTTTTTTCTTGTAGTGTATATAGTTTTTCAGTCCTAAGATTATCTTATCCAGTGGTTCCCAACCTGTGAATCGCGACCCTTTTTTGTGTGGGTCCAATGACTCTTTCACAGGGGTCATCAAAGACCATTGCAAAACACACATTAGTTGAAGTTATGAAGTAGCAACAAAAATAATTGTGTGGTTGGGGGGTCGGTCAGCACAACATGAGGAACTGTATTAAAGGGTCGCCCCATTAGGAAGGTTGAGAACCACTGATCTTATGGGTTGTGGCTGTGTGAATTATAAAAGCAGTGAAAGTAGCATATAGAAACAGTTTGAAATGTGAAAACAGAAGTGCTGAACTACATACATGTTGTGATGAACCCAGGACCATAGCTGATGCTGGGGAAGACCTAGGCCTCTCATTGGTCATCCTAGAAACAGGTGCCCTATCTAACCTGGCCAACATAGATAGGATCAATGTTTTCTTCAAATGCAGAGTGCCCCTGCCTGTGAAGCTAGGAAAGAAGTCTGCACACAAATAAGCTGAATCTGTAAAAACAGGTGTTCACACAAAACTGAAGACTGAAACATGACAAGTTCACAAGTGGACGAACAAGAACTTTTTGCTGAAGTTTTTGCTGATTTACAGCTAGTTAGCTAGTTAACAGATTATCCTCATTGCATGTCGAACCACTTAGTCCATAAGTGCTCGGATCCTCTCCTCAGTAAATCCCGCTTCGTGTAGTAGCTGACGACACCTGTTCTGTGTTGGTTTATTCTTCTTCTTTAGCTACCCACACAGTGTTCTTGTTCGATAACACCCTGTTTAACTTACTGTTCTTGCTGTCTGACTATGGTTGCAGATTCACAGTTCTCAACTGTTTCACGCAAACATTTTAAATCTAGTAGAGCATTCAGTATATCAGCCTAGTCCATGGCCTGTCCGGCTGTCACAGTAGCCTTACCTGCAAGTCTATCAGCTTGCTCATTTCCTTGTACCCCCACATATCCTGGCACGAAAATGAAACTAATCCTTGTCAGCCGTGAACGCTGTAGAGCCAACAACCACTGCCTTCCAACCCAGCCCTTCTCTATCTTTCTTAGCAAACTTGAGTCACTGAGAATTACAGCCAGTGAACACAAGAGGAAGAAATGGTAGTCATTGTTTCAGTTGTTTGCTACAATTCGAAATGTAAAATCCCTGTGTGGGTTTCGGGGCCCTTTTTTGGGTGGGGGGTAGTTGGGGAGGGGGGGGGGAGGATAGACCGAGTGACCCCCAACACGCATTTCACAAAAGGGGACTAATTTAGGTGCCTTTCCTTCAAAGTGTTAAGGTGAATCTGTCTGAGAGTCGAGGAACCCATTCTAAACACACCACAGATCTGTTAAATTAATGAGCACGCAAAACTAAAATTCTGGAACAGGACTAAAGTCCAAAAGTGGACATCCAGAACTTCCCGTCAGAATTTTACAGTTGGTGAACACACCAAGAAAAGACCATATGTGGAAACCTAATTAAATTTATCCTGTTGTGTACTAAAGTTTGAAATGCGAACAGTTACTTACATTTCTCCCTTGTGGATTTTATCAACAGAATCGAGAACTACAGATTATGCGGAAATTGGAGCATCAAAATATAGTCAAGCTGAAGTATTTCTTTTACTCAACAGGTGAAAAGGTAAGATGTCATCTGTGTGAAAAATGTACTATGAAACTGCAGTAAAAGTAAAGGACCCTTTTCCCACGCCTTTAGGCGTATAGGGCAAGACCTATATTTTTATAGACCAATCGGCACAAGATAGGGGATGTGGCCAACATCATGCCGGCCGCCTTTACTTCCTGGGACTGTACCCGGTACCCATTTAAGGCTTGGTCGAACTGGGAGCCAAGGTCATTTTTGAAAAAGTCCGGCTCCACTAGGAAATGAAACTACAGTAGACTCGGAAATCCACTGCAGTAAAAGTCGGAAAAAATAAAAAATGCAAAGTACTCATTTTTTTTAGATCATTGAAATCCCAGGTCTGCAGGCTGCCTACTGCTGGTCTCTAAAGGCGTAGCCAGTGAGGAATGAGATGCTCAATATATGGAAGTGAGGGTAAATATTTATGAGCAGGACGTGATGATTCCTTGGCTGAGCCCAGTACCAGAGCACCATGTATTGGCTCTGCATTTATGGAAGCCTCCTTGGATGGCAGGGAATGCTCCTGTTCTGCACCTGCCTTCTCTTGAGGGCTGACCAGCATTGTGTGGCTTCTCGGGACCAGTCTGATGTGGGGCACCACCTGTGACCCGGGAAACATGAAACTAACCCGGCAGGCTAACCCGGTCAACAAATGCCTGCAGAAGTTAGATGTGTCGGCCGAAAGGTGCAGCTATTACAGATATTGCTGTGAACCGGCACATCGCACACGCATCTCAAATGTGAAAAAGAAAACATTTTTTCACAAGTTCTTGGTGATTACTCCACATTTTTGGGGGAATTAGAATCGGTAAAACCTGGAAGAATGAAAGCAGATAACTTGAGATTGTTAGCGGTCAGCTGTCTGTCGGCCATTGTGGTCAGAAGTACTGGGGGGGGGGGGGGGGGGGGGGGGAGTAGTAGAAGGCTGTGGTCAATACCCGGATGTGTGTGAAAATATAAATAGACCCCCAGCCAGTGATAATAAAGGCAACAACTCCATTATAATACAAGATGACAGAAAGACGTGGGAAATCAGTGATTACCAGCGTCTGTTTCAGACAAGGCATATAGCTTTCTGTATGGGTAACAGCATCAAATTCTTTTTTTGGGGTGGGGGGGGGGGGGCATTAGATCCCCTGCCTCCCTAAAAAAAATGCAGTAAAAGTGGCTAATTATGGATCTTTTCTTTGTGAAATCTGAGCGCATTTGCCTGAGAGGTGAGGAACTAACAATCTGCGTACAAATAAGTCAGACCTTGGAAAACTGATGTGCATGCAAAATCTAAATTCTGGATTAATACTCCTGTCCGGCTGTGGACACATAATCAGAACTATCCAACAGAATTTACAGCAGCTGAACGCTGAGAATAATAATAATAAGAAGAAGACAAGGTGCATGTAAAAGAAGTGGGGATCAAAATTTGGGCCATAGCCAGGCCTTTTTTTTTTTTTAGCCAAATGGGGTATGCAGGACTAGGAGACATATTATGTTTTGTAAGTATGAAATAATTTGGTGCTAACTTGTTTTGTCATTTGTTTCTGCAGAAAGACGAAGTATTTTTAAACCTAGTTTTAGAGTTTGTTCCAGAGACCGTCTATCGGGTAGCGAGACATTACAGTAAATCCAAACAGACTATACCAATATTATATATAAAGGTAAGTAAATAAGCTTCATTTTGTCACGTGAGGAGCATCTTAGATCCCCATCATTGGAGTTAAGGAAATGAATGTTTTGCTTGTTGCATAGAATCAGCATATGGTTAATCCTGGATATTTACTAAACTAGCCAGACCATTCTTTGAGGCTTTAGGTATGTGGGTTTTCCTTGAGTGGGTTTTGGAACTGTCATGATCAGGATAGGGGTGGAGATGGGGGGAAAGTGGGACTGCTGTCAAAGCACTAAACATGTGATTGTCATGATCAGGGTAGGGGTGGAGATGGGGGGAAAGTGGGACTGCTGTCAAAGCACTAAACATGTGATTGTCATGATCAGGGTAGGGGTGGAGATGGGGGGAAAGTGGGACTGCTGTCAAAGCACTAAACATGTGATTGTCATGATCAGGGTAGGGGTGGAGATGGGGGGAAAGTGGGACTGCTGTCAAAGCACTAAACATGTGATTGTCGTGATCAGGGTAGGGATGAAGTGTCAAAGCACTAAACATGTGATTGTCATGATCGGGGTAGGGGTGGAGATGGGGGGAAAGTGGGACTGCTGTCAAAGCACTAAACATGTGATTGTCGTGATCAGGGTAGGGGTGGAGATGGGGGGGGGGGGGGGGAGTGGGAATGCTGTCAAAGCACTAAACATGTGACTGTCATGATCAGGGTAGGGGTGGAGATGGGGGGAATGTGGGACTGCTGTCAAAGCACTAAACATGTGATTGTCATGATCGGGGTAGGGGTTTAGATGGGGGGGGGGGGGGGGGGGGAGTGGGACTGCTGTCAAAGCACTAAACATGTGATTGTCATGATCGGGGTAGGGGTGGAGATGGGGGGAAAGTGGGACTGCTGTCAAAGCACTAAACGTGATTGTCATGATCAGGGTACGGGTGGAGATGGGGGAAAGTGTGACTGCTGTCAAAGCACTAAACATGTGATTGTCATGATCAGGGTACGGGTGGAGATGGGGAGAAAGTGGGACTGCTGTCAAAGCACTAAACATGTGATTGTCATGATCAGGGTAGGGATGAAGATGGGGGGAATGTGGGACTGCTGTCAAAGCACTAAACATGTGATTGTCATGATCAGGGTAGAGATGAAGATAGGGGGAATGTGGGACTGCTGTCAAAGCACTAAACATGTGATTGTCATGATCAGGGTAGGGATAAAGATGGGGGAAATGTGGGACTGCTGTCAAAGCACTAAACATGTGATTGTCATGATCGGTGTAGGGGTGGAGATGGGGAGAAAGTGGGACTGCTGTCAAAGCACTAAACATGTGATTGTCATGATCAGGGTAGGGGTGAAGATGGGGAGAAAGTGGGACTGCTGTCAAAGCACTAAACATGTGATTGTCATGATCAGGGTAGGGGTGGAGATGGGGGGAATGTGGAACTGCTGTCAAAGCACTAAACATGTGATTGTCATGATCAGGGTAGGGGTGGAGATGGGGAATGTGGGACTGCTGTCAAAGCACTAAACATGTGATTGTCATGATCAGGGTAGGGGTGGAGATGGGGAGAAAGTGGGACTGCTGTCAAAGCACTAAACATGTGATTGTCATGATCAGGGTAGGGGTGGAGATGGGGAGAAAGTGCGACTGCTGTCAAAGCACTAAACATGTGATTGTCATGATCAGGGTAGGGATGAAGATGGGGGGAATGTGGGACTGCTGTCAAAGCACTAAACATGTGATTGTCATGATCAGGGTAGGGGTGGAGATGGGGAGAAAGTGCGACTGCTGTCAAAGCACTAAACATGTGATTGTCATGATTGGCACACAAGCCACAGAGGCCACGTGAACCACCTAAAGTAAGGAAAAGTGAGCTTTTGTTGTGAACCAGCTGGGGACAGTCGTCGACCCGACGTCCTAGCGGGCGGTCTGGACAACTGTAGTGTGGAGATGCCACATAAATAATGGAATCTTGTGGCATTAATTTGTGCTGTAGCACACAGGTGGGGCATCTTGGATTTCTGTCATAAAATAACACACTGGATCCTAGTTCAAACATAATCAAATTGAAAAATCATTCTGGTTACACATTAATGGTTTTCTCAGTATGTGCACCAAAGCAAGGCTGCAATATCTCACCTTTCTGCCAGACACAACTAACCTCAGCAGACCCTCTGTTTAGTTGCCTTTTATGACATAGCTGACTGTAGGGTGGGTCACCACCGCAAAGGGATCCAGCCGTTTGCTTTGTGCTGTGAAGGTACCTGGTTTGTTTCATGGCTGCATTGTTCGGCTCACAAGTGCTGTTTTTATTGAGATCCCTGTTGGTTGTCACCAGAACTGCGGTGTTCGTGCGTTGTGTGACACTCTCCATGGTGCAGCTGCTTGTTCAGCAGAAAGAGAATGAGCCATGTGGTTTAAAACCCGATGCATTAAAGTGGATTCTCTCAACTTTAACTTGAACCTTTTGGTTATGGAATTACATACTCTTACTTAACTCATTTAGTATCGGAGGACAGTGAAATTGGTTATAAAATCAATATGTGATGTGTTCCTTGCAACCGCAAAAGTTAATACTGCAATGTAAAGAGTATAGAAACTGGTGCCCCAGCCAGTTGGGGACCTTTGCTTCAGTAGGAGATACCGGACACCAGAAGAAAACAAGTTCCAGAAGCACAGGAACATCCCAGAATTATGTTGAAATATTTATTTATTTATTGGTGATAAAATATTGTTCTTAGAATAACAGCTCCCCAGGTGGATTACTGGGCCTCATTTTAAAGTAACAAGTAAAGTAAAGATCTCTTTTCTCGCCTTTAGGCACATCGGGCATATGGGAAGAGCATCCCATATTTTTACAGACCAATCTGCACTAGGTGGGTAATCTGGTCAGCATTACGCCGGCTGTTTTGACTTTCCCAGGACATACATCCTGGTATCCATTTTTAGGCTGGGTCTCGTTTTGGATGGAGAAAAATAAAAAGACCTGCTCCATAACCGACTTGCTGTAAAATGCGATTAGGGGTCTGTTGTGGTGAAGGACACAGATATCACAGCTTTGCTGTGAACTGCAACTACCCCTTTTGGGGGATGATTACAGGAAAAAAAAAGGATAACAACAACAGATAGTTATCTGGTATTAAGAAAGATTACCACTCATCGTTAACTTGTTTTTCCTGTTCTCCCTCTCTCTGGCAGTTGTACATGTACCAGCTATTTCGCAGTCTAGCCTACATCCACTCCCAGGGTGTCTGCCATCGAGACATCAAACCTCAGAATCTGCTGTTGGACCCTGAAACTGGAGTGCTCAAACTCTGTGATTTTGGAAGGTATGTGTCTGCGTTTTACAGGAATGTGTCTTATTACAGAAAAGTATCTGCTTGTAGTCACAAATATGGAAGATTGTATTTTCTTCTTCGTTTTCCTCCTTTGCCCCTGATAGAGTTGTTGATATATTGTGTTACAGTATACACCGAGGCTGTGGTATCTGTACCTTCCAGCTAAACATACAATTTCAGCAGCCCCTAATTAGTTGCCTTTTATGGCATGCTTGTTAAGGACCAGTCCTCTCCCCCCTTCCCCTGCCACTTAAACAAATGGGGCCTTGAAACCCACACAGGGAAGATGACCTAGCCTAGAAAGAAATCATGAATAAAAACGGATTTAGAACACCAATGACCATGACCTGAGGAAAGACATGTTAATGGCAAGGCACATAATGATGTGTGTTTCTAGTGTACAAACATTGTGACCTATGCCTGGACTATGGAATTGGTGCACTGTGTTGAAATTCCCCATGTTTGAGGTTTGAACAACGGATCAACATCATGGCACACGGAGAGTAACCCATAAGTTCTCCGCATCACAGAGCACAGGCCCTGTAGCACCGGCGAGGATCCTGAAATACTTTGGGTAGATTTTTAACTCCAAATTTTGCCCGGGCAGCACTGTTAGGCTACTCTTTTCGATTTCCAGCTGTCAAAGGATTTTTTACATGTGCAACAATGCACACGGGCGTCCGATCTCACTACCCAGAGACCAGGGGGAATTACTAGAATTCCAAGTCGACATGAAAAAATCCCAGTCCTTACCAGGGATTGAACCCGGAACCTTTAGCACTCAAGGCGGACACCATGCTCCAAACCACGCAGCCCCCGAAATTCTCCATGTATGATCTTCTAGAGGTGATTACAGCACTCATAGATGTAGCTGCATTGAAAGAAGTTTATCCAGCTCTGCCTTTGTCCTCCCTTGTCACATCAGTCTGTCAACCTTTTATACACATCAAGGTCCATGTAATTCTCCTGTACTGTCATCATATCACAGTCGTTCCTCCCCGTGTGGGTTCTGGGGCCCTATTACAGGGAAAACAAGAATAGATCCACTGCCTGCCCAAAAGCATGTCGTAAGAGTCGGCTAATTTTGAGCTTTCTTCGAAGTCGGAGTGCATCTACCTGAGATGCAAGGAACCAGCAGACTGCATACAGATGAGTCAGATCTGTAAAATGGATGCACACGCAACACTCAGGTTTTGGAACAGGGCTGCAGTCTAGAAGTGGATGAACAACAAGAACTTTTTGCCAGAGTTTACAGCTGGTGAACACGGAGAAGAAGAAGACAGTCATTCCCAGTAATCTGCTACTGCTACCTGGAGTCCAAACGGTTGACAGCGTTTCCATCTTCAGTGTCGAGTCCATTGAATTTATCCATGTGAATATCCTGTTCTGCCACGATGTCACGATTGAACACAGTAACTCCATAACCTGTTTTCACTACCACTGCCTGAAGTACAGACAGATGGCTGCCTTTCCATCTTCAATGTCAAGTTCAGTAAATGATGCCGTCCTCTAAAAACTAACAACATACCACTGACTGTCCAACCGGACTTGCAGGCTAGGTGAACTGTGACTGGTTTTTATCTCCACAGTGCAAAGGTATTAGTCAGAGGTGAGCCAAATGTATCCTACATCTGTTCTCGATACTATCGGGCCCCTGAGTTGATATTTGGAGCCACAGATTACACATGTCAGATTGGTGAGTCTTGGTGTCATTTCTTGATGTCTTGTGTCCATGTGCTGTGGGTGGATTTAGTAGTCTGCTGCATGGGTTCTAGAACACAAGGAGCAGCTAACCGAGCGGTTACAACGTCTGGCTCTCATGCAGGAGACCCGGGTTTGACCCCTGGTAAGGTGATGGGAGTTCTTCTGTAGGGGGTAAAAATTAAACATCCTAACCTGCACAGCCCGTGGCCGCAGCACTAGCCAGGCGGCCTCTGAATCGTCGCACTCGAGGGCCCTTCCCCCTCCAACCCTGTCTACACCCACCACCCTAAAAAGTGGTAAAACAAAAAGTAAAGACAGTAGACAGACCATTCTAGAACCCAGAGGACAGTTTTACATGTGTGCTGGTCAATTTGGTAAACCAGTGTACTTTGCTATGAAGATAATTTTGTTTGTAACCTTCTCACCCCCAAGACGCTAGTAGTCCGACATCATAGTTCATTACAAATCCCAGCCGAAGCCACTTAACTGACATTGCTCCATTGACCAGTCCCAGCTAAGCCTAGTTAATGGTATTGGTTCCCTTTGCATCTGCACAGTCTTTAGGAGATGAAAAAAAGGGGCATAGGAAGAGTTATTGTGGAAAAAATGGCTTTTTTGGTTTTTATATCATAATTTGTCTTTACTGGTCAAATAGTGACATGGTGATGGGGTCACAGTGTAAGACACCATATACAACACATATTTTAGGTCCAAGGGAAGGTATTCATTTAATTCTCAGAATGTTGTGCTGCTTATGTATGAAACATCTTCCACTTAATCTGATAAATACGGTTATTTCCCTTACATTTGACCCTAAACATTTTTGTTAGTTTCCACTTCTTACTGACTGTATGCTACCTTGGAATTGATTAGTTTTATCATAGTGCGCTACCAAATAAAAATATTGTAGGATACATCAGTTTCTTTTGCTTTATGGATAAATACAGTTACTGTGCTAAAGATGGCCAATTGATAGGAGCGGTGTGAGACAGGCCTGTAACCCTTTGAAAATTAAGTTTCTTCATTCAGTCCACTTTGATCGTTTAACTCTTTGAGTCCCAGGGGGTTTAGCATCAGAGGCCCAAGGGTTAGTCAAAAGAGATGTAGAATCGGCACATCTTGAGTTCAGTGGGCCTCTAGGCGGGAACCTATGAACGTATGATGCGTTCCTTGGGGCTTAAAGAGAGACTTCCATGTTCCATTATAGAGAGAGTTCATGAATTATCACTTGTAGTATGTTTACATTTAAAAAAAGGAAAAAAAAACCTTGATCTATTGTTTAGACTTTAATAGAGCAAAAGCTAACAACAAGAGGAAGAAGAAAACAAAGATGCACATTAACAATTTACTTGTCTTCTATTGGTCAGATGTATGGTCAGCTGGTTGTGTCCTGGCAGAATTGTTGTTAGGCCAGCCCATTTTCCCGGGGGACAGCGGCGTGGACCAGCTGGTGGAGATCATCAAAGTGCTGGGCACACCCACCCGGGAACAGATTCGGGAGATGAACCCTAACTATTCCGAATTCAAGTTTCCACAGATAAAAGCCCACCCGTGGTCAAAGGTAGTTTCAAGTTTTGTGTGAATTTGTGTGTGTGTCTATATATTAGGGGAGCTCAGTGGCGAAGTGGTCGAGCCATTTGCCTTGCGCTCTGAAGATCGTAGGTTTGTTTCACGGCGAAGCCGATAGGTTCACAAGTGCAGTTTTTACGGAGATCCCCCTGGGAGTCATCTCTGGATCTATGGAGCTCGCGCTTCATGCAGTGTTCTCGGCAGGCGGCTAGCTGGTCTGTGGAAAGAGACCGAACCATATAGGATAAAACCCGATGCAGTGAAGTTGACCCTCTCGACTGTAACCTCCTTATAGTCGTTGCCATTTGGCATTGGTTCTCATGTCCATCCACTTTTTAAAAGTTTCTGACATGGATGTTCTTCCATGTCATGATTGTCAAACTCCTGCGTCTTTTTTTCCTGGCATTCCTCTCCTTCTGTTTCCCGCCTTTATGGTGTACTCAGGTTTCCTCCTCTTTTCAGCTGTATGGCTGTTCATCTTGGAATGAGCAAACCAAACAGTTGTGAAGAGCTTGGAGGTAGCAGAGATCTGTGGTTTCTGGGACAAATGTTGGCACTGTTATGGACAGCTAGAGTTACTTTCTGACAGCCATTGTCTGGGGGAAAAAAAGTAATGACAGCATCTCATCTTACAGCAGGGCTATTCAGCCAAGTTTACAGAGGGGCCAACATTTTGAAATTGGGGATCGTCACGGGTCAACAGTCAGATACCCAGCATAAAAATATCAGTAATACAATACAGCTGGTAAGGATCCCCAGGACCAAGAGGATGAAAATATTTAAGATATGAATATTGAAGGAGAATTAGTTGATAGATAGATAGTATCTTTTCTTGGATCTAAAATACTTCTGGCCTATAATACACACCATAATGGAACAGGAGGGGGTGTTCCATGTTCCATTTTTCGGAAATATTTAGGAACTCGCTCCCCAGCACACACGTCATAAAAGTCTTCTTTTGTTCGCTTGAAATAAATTATCAATTATCTGCAGTGTTGTCTCTAGTATGAACTTCACTGTCTGTTGCTAATAACTTTAGTGGCTGTGAAGTTTGACTTCCACGAGTGTTTCTCTTGGCCAGAAGCTTTGCCTTTAAATGTTGTGTTTGGAACAGTCTTGGTGAATGTGATCTGTTGTCTCAGGTGCCAGTCCACATGTGCACATGGCTGATTGGCCAATCTTAAATTCTGTGTACATGTTGCTGCAAAGTGGACTGTGCCCTGTTTTAAGGCGCAGAATTGGCTTGTTGTGGTCTGTCCATAAAATATGGTCATCGTCTTGTGCCAGTTTTGGTGGTTTTCTGATTGATTTGATTATTCTCTTCTGCTGTTGATAAGAGACTGGTACGTCAGGTTGTTCCAAAAGTGAACTAATTAGGAGCATCTCCTTCAAAGTTGGAGTGCTTATCTGCCTTAGAGGCCAGGACCCATCAGTCTGCATGCAAATAAGCCAGGTCTATACAAATGGATGTACACAGTGGATGAAACAACCAGGACTTTCTGCCAGAGTTGACAGCCGATGAACTTGAAGAAGAAAGGTAAGAGATGTGTGTTTCTCAGATGAAAAAAGCCTGCTGCGTTGATCAGCCTGACTGGATATGAGAAATCGAAGACACCCTAGGTGTAAAAGTTTAGCAGCCGGAAAATTGGAAAGAGATCGTGGCTTTTTGGTGATAGTTATGAGAGTATGCTTCTGCAAAGACCTGCTTGTGATGTTGGTAAACAGAATATTAAGAATAAGAGCTTAGAACAGATGCACCCCCACCCCCCAATAACAAACCACTCTACAATTTTGATCTTCAGTCATTTGAGGCAAACAGTTTCATGTTCAGTATGCCATTTCTGTCTACTTATTTCAAAGTATCGCACCTCTTGCCTTCTGCAGGTGTTCCGTCCCCGCACACCACAAGAGGCAGTGGTTCTGGTGAGTCGACTGTTGGAGTATACACCGTCAGGCCGTATGACTCCACTTGAAGCTTGTGCACATGCATTTTTTGATGAACTGAGGGATCCGAACACCAGACTACCAAGTGGTAGAGAGCTACCTCTACTTTTCAATTTTACACCTACAGGTATGGTATTTTTAAGTCTTATCTTATTAAACAGTTTGTTTTCCCGTGTGGGTTCCAGGGTACCACTTTAGGAACAGAACAATAGACCTACTGCCCCCTTACTAGCATGTGGTAGGAGTTGACTATCTAAGGGTTTCCTTCCAGGTCAGAGTGCATCTGTTTGAGAGGTGAGGAACTTTAAGGGTTTCCTTCCAGGTCAGAGTGCATCTGTCTGAGAGGTGAGGAACTCTAAGGGTTTCCTTCCAGGTCAGAGTGCATCTGTCTGAGAGGCGAGGAACTTTAAGAGTTTCCTTCCAGGTCAGAGTGCATCTGTCTGAGAGGCGAGGAACTTTGAGGGTTTCCTTCCAGGTCAGAGCGCATCTGTCTGAGAGGCGAGGAACTTTAGAGGTTTCCTTCCAAGTCAGAGTGCATCTGTCTGAGAGGCGAGGAAGTTTAGAGGTTTCCTTCCAGGTCAGAGTGCATCTATATAAGAGACGAGGAACCAGCAGTCTGCATAAAAATAGGCCAGATCTATAAAAGTGATGTGCACGCAAATCTTATGTTCTGGAACAAGACTATAGTCAAGAAGGGGGCGAAATATGAGCTCTCTGCCGGAGTTTACAGCCGGTGAATGCTAATAAGAAGAAAAAGTTAGTTGTGTGTCTGTTAGACCAATGTGGGCTGCAGAAAAAAACCTACTTTATCATAAAGTGAATTAGAGTAGGTGGTTTTTCTGTTCCAGTCTCAAAGATTAACAAGTTAAGGATTTCCTGTTTGTGTGAAAAGACTGTGTTAGGTATGCCAGTTAAAAAAAAACAGATAATCGAATGGGTGTTATTGTAGTGCCTGGTGTGTCACAAACAATGATCGAGCCATATAATATACATAAACTGCTATTTACATTTGGTTTTGTTTCTGTGTTTGGTTAGTAACTGTCACCATCCGCATGCAACTCCGTAGCTACAGCGACATTCCTCCATTTACCCCACAGTGTTAACTCTGGTATCCATTACCTAGAGGGTAAGTGAACAGCCCGGTTTCGAACACTGGCCGTGGGCTGCAGCAAGTCGCAGCTGGATTTGAAAGCGAATTTTGTTATTTACAGTTGGTAACTTGCCATTGCTTTCTGAGCAATCGGCTCTCAGTACCCATTGTTGAAATCAACTCAAAGCAGTCAGCTGCTTGGCATCAAACTGGGCATCTCAGAATTATAGACCTTGTTGACAACCCCTAAGCCACAGACGCCAACCTTTAATATCACCAATTTATTTGTTACATTTGGCGAGGCAGGTAAACAACCAGATTTGAAGGGAAAATGTAAGTGGGGGAAAGCCCAGAACAGATAAACAGTTACATAATAGCAAAAATAGATGTGAAATAGAAGTCACACAGAGAGTTTAAATGCTCAGACCTGCATTCCACAATAGATTGGAGCTTATTGGTGAGGGCACTTGCACTTAAGATGGCTACATCAGTTCTGTTGCCTGTCCACAGGTTTGTCACTAGCTCGCACGCCTGCCCACTCACCCACCCACTCCCACACACACACATACATAACATATAGACTTACAAGCACACACACACATATATATATATATATATAAATGCATATATTTATACATATATACAGACATACACTTTGGAATAAGTTCAATTTGATATAAAAAATTACATTGGTTTTCTTGTCTGTCCACAGAATTGTTCCAGCTGATATAAATCAATAAATACATCCATTTTCTGGTCTGTCCACAGAGCTCTCAATAGCACCGGCCCTCAATGCCACATTGATCCCCCCACATGCTCGCTCCGCTGGTACAGACATTGCTGTCAGCTCTGGCACGGCGGCCAACAACTCCTCTCTGGCTCCCGCAAGCAACAGCAGCCTCGACAACAACAGCGCTGCCTCAGGGGCATCCACAAGCGGCGACACCGCATAACAGAGCGAGTGGCGGCTTCGGCAGCCTCCTCCATTGAATATATGTATATTTCTTATTTCCCGCTTCAGGTGGACATCAGTGTAATACTATTAATGTTATTTGAAAACAATCCTACCACATTGTGCTCGACAGAGATGAATATGTGTCGTTTTTCCCCCCCCCCCCCCCCATTTCTTTTAAGTGTCAGACTTAACCATTTTGAGACTGATGACTTTGGAAGAAGCCCTAGTGACAAGAGAAGCTGCAGTATGTATTCACTATCTGCTTTGTTATAAAAGTTTGTGTTGTATATGAGTATATTGATGCCTACACAGGGTGGGTTCTGTTTGACCGTTGTGTTTTATATCATATTAATTCTAGTGTGACTAAATTATAAAACAAGTTAATGTGTGTGTCTGTGGTTATAGTATAATATTTTTATTAGTAACGTTTGCATTGTCCTTTTATACAACTAGGAATTTTATATTTTTGTGTGTGTTTTTTTGGGGTTGGTCTGTATATTTTTGTATGTGTGTCAAATTTATTGTTTTGTTTCCATGAGAACGACAGCTTATTGCCAGGTTGGCATCCTGGTTACCCAAAGCGGGGTTCTGTTTAATTTTTTTTGGTTTTATTTTAGCTAGGTGGGTATCTTGTTAAGTTGTGTTAGAATAATTTACTTGATTTTTAATTAGATAATGCAACAGTTGTGATTTACTTTTATTGTCAGGACTGAAGTTCTAAATTTTTACTTATCCTGGCATTGAGAGCTATCAGCTTGCTAAATTTTTAGAATGGTTACCATTGCTTTGCTGAAAATAGAGCTGTCTCAAATAGAGTATCAACAGCAGAAGCGCCTTTATGTGTGTGTATACATTCAGTGTATGTACCGTCTAAAATTCTAAATTTAAATCTTTTTATGGTATAAAGACTATCAACATGCTACGTTTTTAGAAACCATTGCCCTTACTTGCTGAAAATTGAACTGTTTCGAATAGAGCATCAACAGGTAGAAACACCTGTATGCGTATGTGTATAAATTCAGTATATGTACCATAAATTGTGGGATAGGTTCCCCCTCAAGATCTTTAGCTCAGTATGTTTAGTTTAGCATATATCCACCAGATAGGCCGACCCCCCCCCCCCCTTTTGTGTGACTGTCAAATATTGCTTACCAAACAAGCTGTGTGGGATGTCTTCGTGGTGAAATGATCAAGTCATTTGCCTCATGCTCTCAAAGCTGTATGTTCGTTTTGTGCGTTCAGTTCACGAGTGCAGTTTTTATGGACATCCCTGGAGATCGTCACCAGAGCTATGGAGTTTTTCCTTTTTTTGCAACGCTCTCGGCAGGCAGCTGGCTGTTTTGCGGAGAGACAGACAGAGCCATTTGTGTTACAATTCGGTGCAGAGAAGTCAGTACTCTTGACTTTAATGTAACTTTTTTCTTTTAGTTAAAATGGATGGCATAGTAAGTGATAAAAATTTGACCCATGATGACAAAAATTTGACTCATGACGACTAAAATTTGACGCATGACGATAACAATTTGACTCATGACGACTAAAATTTGACGCATGACTACAAAAATTTGACACCGCAAAAATTTGACTCATGATGACAAAAATTTGACTCATGACGGCAAACATTTGACTCATGATGAAAAAATTTGACTCATGGTGACAAAAATTTGACTCGTGTGGCTATCAGGAGACCCTCAATTTGACACGCCAGGAATAACCAAATGTTGTGAACATCAGCAACCGTGGGCGTGCCTCGAACAGGGGGTAGCCTATTGCTGGTACCAACAGTAGCCTTAGTTGTAGACATCTATGACTTAGGCAGTGAGAATGCACTTCATAATTCCGAGATGCTGGGTTTGGTCCCAGTGGCAGGTGATTTGGCAGCCGAGCACTTTGTATCTACAAGGGAATCAAGAGCCGACCGTTTAGAGGGCAAACATAAAATTGACTAGTGAAATTACAAACAGCCAACAATCCCCTGAGTTAGATAATGACTTTCTCATCACCATCAAATAGGAGAGGGCTATTGAACTGGGGCCCGTGGAGGCCTAGCAAGTGGCCCACGGATCATTGTCAGTTATATTGCTGATCTTTTATTTGCTGAAGCTTGGGCCTCTGGCTCCTGATGGTTCACCATTTTCATAATGTTTGCTCTTGGTGACCTTAGTTTAATATTGTTGAATTAGGAATCCATATCATAGCACTCGGGACATTCCCATAAGCGCTGCATCCCCATCTTCAGCAGCAAGCAAAGAGTTCTAGTTCCGATGGTACCAGTTTTATTTTAAAGGAATCTCTCTTGAGTGTTAAGCATCGGCAAACTAGTAACTTCCCTTTCCTTGCAGAAAGTCGCTCTCATGGGAAGCATTTGTCTTCTTCTTCTTCTTTTGTTCGCTTGAATTATATTATCTATATCTTTAATGTCGTCTGTAGTATGAACTTCACTGTCTGAGAAACATTCTCACACCTTTGCCACTCCTCTGTTTTTTTGTGTGTTTTTATGTAGTGTATATAATGTTTAAAATAGCCGTTTAATGTTTCTGCCCTTGGGGGGGGGGGGGGGGGCACGGAGGTTTAGCTGCTGGGTGCTCTAAAATCTTCAGTTCAAATCAGCATCGAGTCAGATTTCGATTTTAAAAAGACCTTTGCGGCCTGGTTTACCCAGCCTAAAACGGGTACCGGTTTGAGGGAAATAAAGGCGGCTGGCAGGATGCTGACCACATCATCCTTCTAGGGCCGACTGGTCAATAAAAGTTTCAGGCAGGCATTATTTGCTTGATTCGTCACTGGTATCAAAATGGTCCTCCTTTCTACCCTTTGAGGCCTGTTAGGTATGTAGTATGGTACTGGTGCTTGATTTAGGACAAAAGTTGTGGGCACATGATGAGTGATGTATCGTTGCCCTGATAATTGATGTATTTGTTATCATGATGATTGATGTATCGTTACTCTTATAAATGATATATTTGTTTGTTATCATGACGAGCAATGTATTCGTTATCCTGATGAGTGGTGTATTTGTTATCATGACGAGCGATGAAATCGTTACCCTGATGACTGATGGAATTCAGTGGACCCCTACAAAACAGCTTGATGATCTGGACCGCTGATGATATTGCCCTTCTGTCCCATTCACGGAATCAGATACAAGATAAATTAAATATACTTAATGCGAGATCACAGCAGCTTGGTCTGAAAATCCATAAAGGAAAGACAAAGATAATGAGAATAAATCAGGCAAATAGTAGTGTGGTTTCTCTTAATGGCACCCCACTCCAAGACGTGGAGTCGTACACCTATTTGGGCAGTAATGTAGATAAAGATGGAGGAACTGATAGAGATATTAAAATAAGAATACAAAAGGCAAGAGGGGCTTTCATAGCACTAGGGAATTTGTGGAGGTCAAAAGAAATTAAAAGAAATACTAAACTAAAAATTTTTAATTCTAATGTCAAATCAGTACTATTGTATGGGGCGGAAACATGGAGAACAACGAAGGCAATTACTAATAAATTACAGACATTCATTAACTGGTGCCTGCGCAGAATAGAGGGAATAAAATGGTATGATAGAATAACTAATGTAGAACTTTGGGAGAGAACTAAACAGGCTTCAGTGGATCAGGAGGTGAGGAAAAGACGCTGGCGTTGGATAGGGCACACACTGAGAAAACAGGAGAACAGCATAACTAGAATGTCTTTGCATTGGAACCCACAGGGGCATAGGAATAAAGGAAGGCCAAAAAAACACACGGAGAAGAGAGCTGGAGAATGAGGTTAGAAAGATTGGGAGGACATGGGGAGAGCTCCAGGTAATGGCGAAGGATAGAACGACTTGGCGTTGGTTGAGGGCCTATGCTCCATTGGGGGATAGAAAGGCAGAAGAAGAAGAAGATGACTGATGTATTCGTTACCCTGATGAGCGATGTATTCATTACCCTGATGAGTGATGTATTTGTTATATTGATGTTCTACTTCTTTACTTTCATCTAGTATACTTCTTCTACTTCTTTACTTTCACCATACGTTATTCAAAAGTAAAGGACCCTCTTGTATGCCATCGAGCCTATGATGCTGGTCTCATTGTTCTTATAAACAGTGGACACTTTGTGAACGATGTGGTCTTTATCACCCTGGCTGCCTTTACTCTCCAGAACATCACCTGGTACCTGCTGGGGTAGCCTAGGGGCCAACAGAAATGTTGGAAGAAAAGTTATCTGAATGAGTGCAGATTTTAACCCACATCCTTCTGGCTGGCCACTAGGCTACAGTGGTTTGTCACATGTATTATTGCAAAGTTTATGCAGGTGTTTCTGTACTATGTAGGTGTCTGTGGCTCAAGTGTTGCAAATGAGCTTCATAATGCCTGGTGGTTCGATCCCAGCTGCGGGTCTTGCGCCTTGCATTGGTTTCAACAGTGGTATCAAGAAGCCAACCATCCAGAAAGCAATGGCGAACTACGGGATGTGAATTTGCCCAGAAAAACCACAACAGCCAAAAAATGCTGGGGTTGGTTCTGCAACATCCTGTAAAGGATACGCAACTAACTGTTCTGTAGTATGTTGACATTTTTTGGGGGCAGACTCTGTCAGTTAGTTATGCGTCTGTATTGTCATTCCGCATCCTGTTTCCGACAGTCTCATATACTGCAGCATGATGCATCTGCTCACTGAAAACACATTGCCAGTATACAGTAAAAACCTTGTTAACATGAACTTACTTAATTAAGAAGAACACTAGGTTAACGTAAAGATGTATTAAGTCCCTTGATTTTTCACGCACTTGGATTCTGTATGAACAAGGTTTTACTGTATTTTTTTTTTAAACGCCCTAATGGAAAGTTAACTCATGCATGAAGTCTTTAGCTTGGTTTCTTGTTCCTCTGCATGTAAGGACTTATGAAGACCATGCTGAAGACACTTACACCCATGGACTGGTAGATCTGCCACTGGGGCTTTATGGTTTCTAGTGTGTGGGGGTCGGGGTGGTGGGGTGGGGGGGG